GGGGGAAGCACGGAAGGGGATGGGGGAAGCACGGAAGGGGATGGGGGAAGCACGGAAGGGGATGGGGGAAGCACGGAAGGGGATGGGGAAGCACGGAAGGGGATGGGGGAAGCACGGAAGGGGATGGGGGAAGCACGGAAGGGGATGGGGGAAGCACGGAAGGGGATGGGGGAAGCACGGAAGGGGATGGGGAAGCACGGAAGGGATGGGGGGAAGCACGGAAGGGGATGGGGGAAGCACGGAAGGGATGGGGGAAGCACGGAAGGGGATGGGGGAAGCACGGAAGGGGATGGGGGAAGCACGGAAGGGGATGGGGGAAGCACGGAAGGGGATGGGGGAAGCACGGAAGGGGATGGGGGAAGCACGGAAGGGGATGGGGGAAGCACGGAAGGGGATGGGGGAAGCACGGAAGGGGATGGGGGAAGCACGGAAGGGGATGGGGGAAGCACGGAAGGGATGGGGGAAGCACGGAAGGGGATGGGGGGAAGCACGGAAAGGGATGGGGGAAGCACGGAAGGGATGGGGAAGCACGGAGGGGATGGGGAAGCACGGAAGGGGATGGGGGAAGCACGGAAGGGGATGGGGGAAGCACGGAAGGGGATGGGGGAAGCACGGAAGGGGATGGGGGGGGGAAGCACGGAAGGGGATGGGGGAAGCACGGAAGGGGATGGGGGAAGCACGGAAGGGGATGGGGGAAGCACGGAAGGGGATGGGGGAAGCACGGAAGGTGATGGGGGAAGCACGGAAGGGGATGGGGGAAGCACGGAAGGGGATGGGGGAAGCACGGAAGGGGATGGGGGAAGCACGGAAGGGGATGGGGGAAGCACGGAAGGGATGGGGGAAGCACGGAAGGGGATGGGGGAAGCACGGAAGGGGATGGGGGAAGCACGGAAGGGATGGGGGAAGCACGGAAGGGATGGGGGAAGCACGGAAGGGGATGGGGAAGCACGGAAGGGGATGGGGGAAGCACGGAAGGGGATGGGGGAAGCACGGAAGGGATGGGGGAAGCACGGAAGGGGATGGGGGAAGCACGGAAGGGGATGGGGGAAGCACGGAAGGGGATGGGGGAAGCACGGAAGGGATGGGGGAAGCACGGAAGGGGATGGGGAAGCACGGAAGGGGATGGGGGAAGCACGGAAGGGGATGGGGGAAGCACGGAAGGGGATGGGGGAAGCACGGAAGGGGATGGGGGAAGCACGGAAGGGGTGGGGGAAGCACGGAAGGGGATGGGGGAAGCACGGAAGGGGATGGGGGAGCACGAAGGGGATGGGGGAAGCACGGAAGGGGATGGGGGAAGCACGGAAGGGGATGGGGGAAGCACGGAAGGGGATGGGGGAAGCACGGAAGGGGATGGGGGAAGCACGGAAGGGGATGGGGGAAGCACGGAAGGGGAGGGGGGGAAGCACGGAAGGGGATGGGGGAAGCACGGAAGGGGATGGGGGAAGCACGGAAAGGGGATGGGGAAAGCACGGAAGGGGATGGGGGAAGCACGGAAGGGATGGGGAAGCACGGAAGGGGATGGGGGAAGCACGGAAGGGATGGGGGAAGCACGGAAGGGGGTTGGGAAGCACGGAAGGGGATGGGGGAAGCACGGAAGGGGATGGGGGAAGCACGGAAGGGGATGGGGGGAAGGATGGGAAGCACGGAAGGGGATGGGGGAAGCACGGAAGGGGATGGGGGAAGCACGGAAGGGGATGGGGGAGGGAAGCACGGAAGGGGATGGGGGAAGCACGGAAGGGGATGGGGGAAGCACGGAAGGGGATGGGGGAAGCACGGAAGGGGATGGGGGAAGCACGGAAGGGGAGGGGGAAGCAAGGGAAGGGGATGGGGAAGCACGGAAGGGGATGGGGGAAGCACGGAAGGGGATGGGGGAAGCACGGAAGGGGATGGGGGAAGCACGGAAGGGGATGGGGGAAGCACGGAAGGGGATGGGGGAAGCACGGAAGGGATGGGGAAGCACGGAAGGGGATGGGGGAAGCACGGAAGGGGATGGGGGAAGCACGGTAAGGGGGATGCGGGAAGCACGGGAAGGGGATGGGGGAAGCACGGAAGGATGGGGGAAAGCACGATAGGGATGGGGAAGCACGGAAGGGGATGGGGGAAGCACGGAAGGGGATGGGGGAAGGCACGGAAGGTGGGAATGGGATGGGAAGCACGGAAAGGGGATGGGGGAAGCACGGTAAGGGGATGGGGGAAGCACGGGAAGGGGATGGGCGAAGCACGGACGGGGATGGGGGGAAGCACGGAAGGGGATGGGGGAAGCACTGAAGGGGATGGGGGAAGCACCGGAAGGGGATGTGGGGAAGCACGGCAGGGGATGGGGGAAGCACGGAAGGGAGATGGGGGGAAGCACGGAAGGGGCGAAGGGGGGATGGGAAGCACGGAAGGGATGGGGGAAGCACGGAAGGGGTATGGGGAAGCACGGAAGGGGAGGGGGAAGCACGGAAGGGGATGGGGGAAGCACGGAAGGGGCATGGGGAAGCACGGAAGGGGAGTGGGGAAGCACGGAAGGGGATGGGGGAAGCACGGAAGGGGATGGGGGAAGCACGGAAGGGGATGGGGGAAGCACGGAAGGGGATGGGGGAAGCACGGAAGGGATGGGGGAAGCACGGAAGGGGATGGGGGAAGCACGGAAGGGATGGGGGAAGCACGGAAGGGGGGATGGGTAAGCACGGAAGGGGATGGGGAAGCACGGAAGGGGATGGGGGAAGCACGGAAGGGATGGGGGAAGCACGGAAGGGGATGGGGAAGCTACGGAAGGGGATGGGGAAGCACGAAGGGATGGGGGAAGCACGGAAGGGGCATGGGGGAAGCACGGAAGGGGATGGGGGTAAGCACGGAAGGGCGATGGGGAAGCACGGAAGGGGATGGGGGAAGCACGGAAGGGGATGGGGGAAGCACGGAAGGGGAATGGGGAAGCACGGAAGGGGATGGGGGAAGCACGGAAGGGGATGGGGAAGCACGGAAGGGGATGGGGGAAGCACGGAAGGGGATGGGGGAAGCACGGAAGGGGATGGGGAAGCACGGAAGGGGATGGGGGAAGCACGGAAGGGGATGGGGGAAGCACGGGAAGGGGATGGAGGGGAAGCACGGAAGGGGATGGGGACGCACGGTAAGGGATGGGGGAAGCACGGAAGGGGATGGGGGAAGCACGGAAGGGGATGGCGGGAAGCAACGCAGGGGATGGGGGAAGCACGGAAGGGGATGGGGGAAGCACGGAAAGGGATGGGGGAAGCACGGAAGGGGATGGGGGAAGCACGGAAGGGGATGGGGGAAGCAGGAAGGGGATGGGGGAAGCCCGGAAGGGATGGGGGAAGCACGGAAGGGGATGGGGGAAGCACCGGAAGGGGATGGGGACGCACGGAAGGGGATGGGGGAAGCACGGAAGGGGGATGGGGGAAGCACGGAAGGGGATGGGGGAAGCACGGAAGGGGTATGGGGAAGCACGGTAAGGGATGGGAAGCACGGAAGGGGATGGGGGAAGCACGGAAGGGGAGGGGGAAGCAAGCGAAGGGGATGGGAAGCACGGAAGGGGATGGGGGAAGCACGGAAGGGGATGGGGGAAGCACGGAAGGGGGATGGGGGAAGCACGGAAGGGGATGGGGGAAGCACGGGAAGGGGATGGGGGAAGCACGGAAGGGATGGGGGAAGCACGGCAGGGGATGGGGGAAGCACGGAAGGGGATGGGGAAGCACGGAAGGGGATGGGGGAAGCACGGAAGGGGATGGGGGAAGCACGGAAGGGGATGGGGGAAGCACGGAAGGGGATGGGGGGAAGCACGGAAGGGGATGGGGAAGCACGGAAGGGGATGGGGGAAGCAGGAAGGGATGGGGGAAGCACGGAAGGGGATGGGGGAAGCACGGAAGGGGATGGGGAAGCACGGAAGGGGATGGGGGAAGCACGGAAGGGGATGGGGAAGCACGGAAGGGATGGGGGAAGCACGGAAGGGGATGGGGGAAGCACGGAAGGGGATGGGGGAAGCACGGAAGGGGATGGGGGAAGCACGGAAGGGATGGGGGAAGCACGGAAGGGATGGGGAAGCACGGAAGGGGATGGGGGAAGCACGGAAGGGATGGGGGAAGCACGGAAGGGGATGGGGGAAGCACGGAAGGGGATGGGGGAAGCACGGAAGGGGATGGGGGAAGCACGGAAGGGATGGAGGGGAAGCACGGAAGGGGATGGGGGAATCACGGAAGGGGTGGGGAAGGAAGGGAGGGTGGAAGCACGGGGAAGGGGGATGGGGGAAGCACGGAAGGGGATGGGGGGAAGCCACGGAAGGGGATGGGGGAAGCACGGAAGGGGATGGGGAAGCACGGAAGGGGATGGGGGGAAGCACGGAAGGGGATGGGGGAAGCACGGAAGGGGATGGGGAAGCACGGAAGGGGATGGGGAAGCACGGAACGGGGATGGGGAGGGAAGCACGGAAGGGGATGGGGGAAGCACGGAAGGGATGGGGGAAGCACGGAAGGGGATGGGGGAAGCACGGAAGGGGATGGGGAAGCACGGAAGGGATGGGGGAAGCACGGAAGGGGATGGGGGAAGCACGGAAGGGATGGGGGAAGCACGGAAGGGGATGGGGAAGCACGGAAGGGGATGGGGAAGAACGGAAGGGGATGGGGAAGCACGCGAAGGGGATGGGGGAAGCACGGAAGGGGATGGGGGAAGCACGGAAGGGGATGGGGGAAGCACGGAAGGGGATGGGGGAAGCACGGAAGGGGATGGGGAAGCACGGAAGGGGATGGGGGAAGCACGGGAAGGGGATGGGGGAAGCACGGAAGGGGATGGGGGAAGCACGGAGGGGATGGGGGAAGCACGGAAGGGGATGGGGAAGCACGGAAGGGGAGGGGAAGCACGGAAGGGGATGGGGGAAGCACGGAAGGGGAGGGGGGGAAGCACGGAAGGGGATGGGGGAAGCACGGAAGGGATGGGGGAAGCACGGAAGGGGATGGGGGAAGCACGGAAGGGGATGGGGGAAGCACGGAAGGGGATGGGGGAAGCACGGAAGGGGATGGGGAAGCACGGAAGGGGATGGGGGAAGCACGGAAGGGGATGGGGGAAGCACGGAAAGGGGTTCTCCCTGGGGGGAACAAAGAGGAAAATAAAATAAAACCAATAAATGGATATGGGGAAGCACGGAAAAGGGGATGGGGGGGAAGCACGGAAGGGGATGGGGAAGCACGGAAGGGGATGGGGGAAGCACGGAAGGGGATGGGGGAAGCACGGAAGGGGATGGGGGAAGCACGGAAGGGGATGGGGGAAGCACGGAAGGGGATGGGGGAAGCACGGAAGGGGATGGGGGAAGCACGGAAGGGGATGGGGGAAGCACGGAAGGGGATGGGGGAAGCACGGAAGGGGATGGGGGAAGCACGGAAGGGGGATGGGGGAAGCACGGAAGGGGATGGGGAAGCACGGAAGGGGATGGGGAAGCAGGAAGGGGATGGGGGAAGCACGGAAGGGGATGGGGGAAGCACGGAAGGGGATGGGGGAAGCACGGAAGGGGATGGGGGAAGCACGGAAGGGGATGGGGGAAGCACGGAAGGGGATGGGGGAAGCACGGAGGGGATGGGGAAGCACGGAAGGGGATGGGGGAAGCACGGAAAGGGGATGGGGGAAGCACGGAAGGGGATGGGGGAAGCACGGAAGGGGATGGGGAAGCACGGAAGGGGATGGGGGAAGCACGGAAGGGGATGGGGAAGCACGGAAGGGGGATGGGAGGAAGCACGGAAGGGGATGGGGAAGCACGGAAGGGGATGGGGGAAGCACGGAAGGGGATGGGGGAAGCACGGAAGGGATGGGGGAAGCACGGAAGGGGATGGGGGAAGCACGGGAAGGGGATGGGGGAAGCACGGAAGGGGATGGGGAAGCACGGTAAGGGGATGGGGGAAGCACGGAAGGGATGGGGGAAGCAACGGAAGGGGATGGGGAAGCACGGAAGGGGATGGGGGAAGCACGGAAGGGGATGGGGGAAGCACGGAAGGGGATGGGGGAAGCACGGAAGGGGGATGGGGGAAGCCACGGAAGGGGATGGGGGAAGCACGGAAGGGGATGGGGGAAGCACGGAAGGGGATGGGGGAAGCACGGAAGGGGATGGGGGAAGCACGGAAGGGGATGGGGAAGCACGGAAGGGGATGGGGGAAGCACGGAAGGGATGGGGGAAGCACGGAAGGGGATGGGGGAAGCACGGAAGGGGATGGGGGAAGCACGGAAGGGAGTGGCGGATGGGGGAAGCACGGAAGGGGATGGGGGAAGCACGGAAGGGGATGGGGGAAGCACGGAAGGGGATGGGGGAAGCACGGAAGGTGGATGGGGGAAGCACGGAAGGGGATGGGGGAAGCACGGAAGGGGATGGGGGAAGCACGGAAGGGGATGGGGGAAGCACGGAAGGGGATGGGGGAAGCACGGAAGGGGATGGGGGAAGCACGGAAGGGGATGGGGGAAGCACGGAAGGGGATGGGGGAAGCACGGAAGGGGATGGGGGAAGCACGGAAGGGATGGGGAAGCACGGAAGGGGATGGGGGAAGCACGGAAGGGGATGGGGGAAGCACGGAAGGGGATGGGGGAAGCACGGAAGGGGATGGGGAAGCACGGAAGGGGATGGGGGAAGCACGGAAGGGATGGGGGAAGCACGGAAGGGGATGGGGGAAGCACGGAAGGGATGGGGGAAGCACGGAAGGGGATGGGGGAAGCACGGAAGGGGATGGGGAAGCACGGAAGGGGATGGGGGAAGCACGGAAGGGGATGGGGGAAGCACGGAAGGGGATGGGGGAAGCACGGAAGGGGATGGGGGAAGCACGGAAGGGGATGGGGGAAGCACGGAAGGGGATGGGGGAAGCACGGAAGGGGATGGGGGAAGCACGGAAGGGATGGGGGAAGCACGGAAGGGGATGGGGGAAGCACGGAAGGGGATGGGGAAGCACGGAAGGGGATGGGGGAAGCACGGAAGGGGATGGGGGAAGCACGGAAGGGGATGGGGGAAGCACGGAAGGGGATGGGGGAAGCACGGAAGGGGATGGGGGAAGCACGGAAGGGGATGGGGGAAGCACGGAAGGGATGGGGGAAGCACGGAAGGGGAGGGGGAAGCACGGAAGGGGATGGGGGAAGCACGGAAGGGGAGGGGGAAGCACGGAAGGGGATGGGGGAAGCACGGAAGGGATGGGCGATGGGATGGGGAAGCACGGAAGGGATGGGGAAGCACGGAAGGGGATGGGGGAAGCACGGAAGGGGATGGGGGAAGCACGGAAGGGGATGGGGGAAGCACGGGAAGGGGATGGGGGAAGCACGGAAGGGGATGGGGGAAGCACGGAAGGGGATGGGGGAGCACGGAAGGGGATGGGGAAGCACGGAAGGGGATGGGGGAAGCACGGAAGGGATGGGGGAAGCACGGAAGGGGATGGGGGAAGCACGGAAGGGGATGGGGGAAGCACGGAAGGGGATGGGGGAAGCACGGAAGGGGATGGGGGAAGCACGGAAGGGGATGGGGAAGCACGGAAGGGGATGGGGGAAGCACGGAAGGGGATGGGGGAAGCACGGAAGGGGATGGGGAAGCACGGAAGGGGATGGGGGAAGCACGGAAGGGGATGGGGAAGCACGGAAGGGGATGGGGGAAGCACGGAAGGGGATGGGGGAAGCACGGAAGGGGATGGGGGAAGCACGGAAGGGGATGGGGAAGCACGGAAGGGGATGGGGGAAGCACGGAAGGGGATGGGGGAAGCACGGAAGGGGATGGGGGAAGCACGGAAGGGGATGGGGGAAGCACGGAAGGGGATGGGGGAAGCACGGAAGGGATGGGGGAAGCACGGAAGGGGATGGGGGAAGCACGGAAGGGGATGGGGGAAGCACGGAAGGGGATGGGGGAAGCACGGAAGGGGATGGGGGAAGCACGGAAGGGGATGGGGGAAGCACGGAAGGGGATGGGGAAGCACGGTAAAGGGGATGGGGGAGCACGGAAGGGGATGGGGGAAGCACGGAAGGGGATGGGGGAGCACGGAAGGGATGGGGGAAGCACGGAAGGGATGGGGGAAGCACGGAGGGGATGGGGGAAGCACGGAAGGGGATGGGGGAAGCACGGAAGGGGATGGGGGAAGCACGGAAGGGATGGGGGAGCACGGAAGGGGATGGGGGAAGCACGGAAGGGGATGGGGGAAGGCAGGAAGGGGATGGGGGAAGCACGGAAGGGGATGGGGGGAAGCACGGAAGGGGATGGGGAAGCACGGGAAGGGGATGGGGGAAGCACGGAAGGGGATGGGGGGCGCACGGAAGGGGGGGAAGCACGGAAGGGGATGGGGAAGCACGGAAGGGGATGGGGGAAGCACGGAAGGGGATGGGGGAAGCACGGAAGGGGATGGGGAAGCACGGAAGGGGAGGGGGGAAGCACGGAAGGGGAGGGGGGAAGCACGGAAGGGGATGGGGGAAGCACGGAAGGGGATGGGGGAAGCACGGAAGGGGATGGGGGAAGCACGGAAGGGGATGGGGGAAGCACGGAAGGGGATGGGGGAAGCACGGAAGGGATGGGGGAAGCACGGAAGGGGATGGGGGAAGCACGGAAGGGATGGGGACAGCACGGAAGGGATGGGGAAGCACGGAAGGGGATGGGGGAAGCACGGAAGGGGATGGGGGAAGCACGGAAGGGGATGGGGGAAGCACGGAAGGGGGATTGGGGGAAGCACGGAAGGGGATGGGGAAGCACGGAAGGGGGACAATGGGGGGGGAGGAAGCACGGAAGGGGATGGGGGAAGCACGGAAGGGGATGGGGAAGCACGGAAGGGATGGGGAAGCACGAAGGGGATGGGGGAAGCACGGAAGGGGATGGGGGAAGCACACGGAAGGGGATGGGGGAAGCACGGAAGGGGATGGGGGAAGCACGGAAGGGGATGGGGGGAAGCACGGAAGGGGATGGGGAAGCACGAAGGGGATGGGGGAAGCACGGAAGGGGATGGGGGAGAAGCACGAAGGGGATGGGGGAAGCACGGAAGGGGATGGTGGAAGGAAGCACGGAAGGGGATGGGGGAAGCACGGAAAGGGGATGGGGGAAGCACGGAAGGGATGGGGGAAGCACGGAAGGGATGGGGGGAAGCACGGAAGGGGCTGGGGGAAGCACGGAAGGGATGGGGGAAGCACGGAAGGGGATGGGGGAAGCACGGAAAGGGGATGGGGAAGCACGGAACGGGATGGGGAAGCACGGAAGGGATGGGGGAAGCACGGGAAGGGGATGGGGGAAGCACGGAAGGGATGGGGAAGCACGGAAGGGGATGGGGGAAGCACGGAAGGGGATGGGGGAAGCACGGAAGGGGATGGGGGAAGCACGGAAGGGGATGGGGGAAGCACGGAAGGGGATGGGGGAAGCACGGAAGGGGATGGGGGAAGCACGGAAGGGGATGGGGGAAGCACGGAAGGGGATGGGGGAAGCACGGAAGGGGATGGGGGAAGCACGGAAGGGATGGGAAGCAACGGGAGGGAAGCACGGAAGGGGATGGGGGAAGCACGGAAGGGGATGGGGGAAGCACGGAAGGGGATGGGGGAAGCACGGAAGGGGATGGGGGAAGCACGGAAGGGGATGGGGGAAGCACGGAAGGGGATGGGGGAAGCACGGAAGGGGATGGGGGAAGCACGGGAAGGGGATGGGGAAGCACGGAAGGGGATGCACGGAAGGGGATGGGGAAGCACGGAAGGGGATGGGGGAAGCACGGAAGGGGATGGGGGAAGCACGGAAGGGGATGGGGGAAGCACGGAATGGGAGGGGGAAGCACGGAAGGGGATGGGGAAGCACGGAAGGGGATGGGGAAGCACGGAAGGGGATGGGGGAAGCACGGGAAGGGGATGGGGGAAGCACCGGAAGGGGATGGGGGAAGCACGGAAGGGGATGGGGGAAGCAGGAAGGGGATGGGGGAAGCACGGAAGGGGATGGGGGGAAGCACGGAAGGGGATGGGGGAAGCACGGAAGGGGATGGGGGGAAGCACGGAAGGGGATGGGGGAAGCACGGAAGGGGATGGGGGAAGCACGGAAGGGGATGCGGGAAGCCACGGAAGGGGATGGGGGAAGCACGGAAGGGGATGGGGGAAGCACGGGAAGGGGATGGGGGAAGCACGGAAGGGGATGGGGGAAGCACGGAAGGGGATGGGGGAAGCACGGAAGGGGTGCATGTGCGGGTTGGAAAGGGGCCGTGACAAGTGTGCGAGATGAGAAGGGAAAAGGGAGGGATGGCGAGGACAACGAGGAGTGGATGGGAGGGCGACGGGGAAAGCGAGGGCGACGGGAGAAGAGAGAGACGGAGATTGCGAGGGGACGAGCGGGAAGGAGGGCGACGAGACGAAGGGGGGCAACGGGCGGAAAGGAACGCGACGAGGGAAAGGAAGGGCGGCGGGCGGAAGGGAAGGCAACGGGAGGAAGGGAGGGCTACGAGACGAAGGGAGGGCGACGGGCGGAAGGGAGCGCGACGAGGGGAAGGAAGGGCGGCGGGCGGAAGGGAGGGCGACGGGCGGAAGGGAGGGTGACGGGCGGAAGGGAGGGCGACGGGCGGAAGCGAGGGCGACGGGCGGGGAAGCGGCGAGGCCGACAGGCGAGGCGAGGGTGTAGGCGGGGAAAGCGAGAGCGACGGGCGGGGGAAGCGAGAGCGATGGGCGAGGGAACCGAGGTCGACGGGCGGCGAGGCGGCGAGGGCGACGGGCGGGGCGAGGGCGGTGGGCGGAGAAAGCATGGGCGAGGGTCGTGAGGTAGGCAAAGCGCTAATTTCTCATCTCCTCACGCCCATTTTCTACGTGCTTCGATTGCGTATACAAGCTGCACCTACTAATTCCGGTTGTCTGAAAAAGTGCTCACTCTAAAACCTAGCTGGTGTGCGATGGTCGGATTCTAACGTGAGTGAATGAGTATTTTAGCTTGTTCTGTCGGACGAGTTTTCTTACTCTGATCCAGCTCTCGGAGGTTGGTATGCGGGTTGCCTGCGAACTGTTTGCCTCACAGGAGAGTCGCATCAGGTTTCGCTAAACTGCCACCTTTCGCAATTTCTCCGCACCTCATATTGCCCGAACCTCAGAACTACCAAACCAAGCGTTGACTCATATTTTGTAATTCAGGCTTCGGGTTTTAACGCCTGCAGAACAGCGCCAATGTCTGCCAATGTGGTTCCCTGACGCACATGCGATGTTTGTGCGTGCGGCGAAGGGATTCTTGGTGTTGGGTGACCTGCCTGACACAAACATCCCGTCCTGGCAACCGTCCTTGCCAGGAGGCAGCGGAGGTGTGCTAGTCCAGCAGCACTTGCCATTTTCACCCTCATTTCCTCGTTTTTTGCAGAAGCAGAGCAGGATTTTCTAATCTACGAATTCGTTAAAGCAGTCTTTTACTCAGCGTTCATGGGGCCTAAGAAGGGCAAGCGAGGTGGAGGTGCAGGCGGAGGCGCAGGCGCAGGTGGAGGTCGCGGGGAAGGGCAAGCTGGCGCGCCGAGGTAATTGCTCGTTCGCATCGCTTTTCATTTTACTCCTTCGTCGCCTATTTCAGCTCGCTATCTTTTCTCGGATTTCACTTGTCGTTTAGAGAAACGCTCTGTCGCCGTCGTTGTCATGACACGCTGTGTCTTGCGCACTTGTGTAAGAACCGCGCATGAAATACTAAGATGCATGCCATTATCCCTTCGCACTCGCCTCCCTTCGCAGCGCCGTCGTTGTCATGGCACGCTTTGTCTTGTCCGTTTTTATATAAATTACAAATCAAATACTAATATACACGTCATTGTGGGTCCCGCCGGTCTCTTTCCCCCTTCCATCTCGCTTCCCTGCGTGCAGCGCAGCACCACCGGCGTCAGCAGCACCGTCGCAGCCGCCCGCGGGGGGCAGAGGCGCGCCTGCTCCCGCGGGAGCAGGAGGTCGCGGGGGAAGGGGCGCGCCGCCAGGTGGAAGGGGCGCGCCCGTTCCCGCAGGAGCACCCGGAGGAGTAGGAGCCCCTGGCGCAGGCGGAGGGCGTGGGCGCGGGGGGCGCGGGCGGGGAGGACGCGGAGAGCAGGCGCAAGGAGCGGGGGGGGTTGGGGGCATCACCGCAGGCATGGCTCAGATGGGTGTGTCCGCGCCACCCGCGGATTTCCCCGCCCTCGCACCCGCGCGTGCCCCCGCCCCCGCATCCGCGCGTGGCCCCGCTCCTACCCCCGCACCCGCTGCCCCTACTCCCGCCCCTATGCCCGCTGCCCCCGTACCGGTTGCGCCCGCGCCCGTAGCAGGTGCGGCGGCGGCGGGCGTGGCGGTGACGATGGCGGGGCCGGCGGGCGTGTCGAGCAGGGCGCTGGTGGCGGCGGCGCGGCCGGGGTTCGGCAAGGCGGGGCGGCCCGTGATGCTGCTGGCGAACCACTTCAAAATCGACTTCCAGGTGCGCTTGCTCAGGGGCGGGGGCGGGGGGAAGAAGGGGGGCGAGGGGGGAGGGGCGGCGAGTGGGAGAGCGTGTAGGTAATGGGGATAATGAATGGGTGCGAGTTGCGCTTGACCATCGTTCTCCGCGGCCCACCTCGCATCCTCCCCTGCATGCGTCTCGTCCCGTCTTGCTCTCCTCTCTTTCCCTACCCCTCGCATCCTTTGCTCGAATTCCCGCCCTGATTCTGCCCATATGGCCGCACGCCCCTTCCGACTTCATTCTGAAACGTTGTTTACTGCCAAACGCTCGTTGCGGGTCCAACCTCTCCCTTCCAGGACCTGGTAATCCACCACTACAACGTGGACTTCTCCCTCCCCCGCACTCGCCTCCAAGGGCGTCATTAGATGCACCCGGGAACCTGAACCTGCTGCTTCACACGCCCCTTCTCCCTCCTCTCCCTCCCCTCCCTCCCTTTCCCCCCCCAGGACCTGGTGATCTACCACTACGATGTCGACTTCTCCCCCGCGCTCGTCTCCAAAGGCGTCATGCGCACTTCGAAACCCGCTGCTCCACACGCCCCTTCCCTCCCATTCTCTTCCTTCCTCTCCCTCCTTTCCTTTCCCCTCACGCCCTTCCCCTTTCTCTTCGCCCTTCTTCCTCCCCCCCCAGGACCTGGTCATCTACCATTACGACGTGGACTTCTCCCCCGCGCTCGCCTCCAAGGGCGTCATGCGGGCGGCCGTCCGCCAGCTGGCGGAGACCTACAGCGCGCAGCTCGTCCCGCCTGGCGGCGCCCCCAGCGCCCCCGTGCGCCCTGTCTTCGACGGCATGAAGAACATTTTCACTGCCCGCCCGCTGCCGTTTGACAGCCAGGAGTTCCGCGTTGTGCTGCCCGAGAAAGACGAAGGGGCAGGGGCGGGGAGAGGCGGCGGCGGAGGCGGGGGAAGGGGAGGTAGTAGCAGTGGTGCTGGGCGCGGGGGCAGGAGGGGCGGGCGCGGAGGGGGGGAGCGGAGGGAGCGGGCGGTGAAGGTGACGGTGAAGCTGGCCCAGCAATACCCCATGTCGTCTATGACCTCGTTTCTGCAGGGCCGCCAGGCTGACATTCCGCAAGTGCTGCTGCAGGTGGGTGTTGAGGTTTGAATTCTTCCCCCCCTTGTCCCCGTCCCTGTCCCCATCACCTCTAGGCCGACCTTGCCTCTTTCTCTCCATCCATCACCTCCCTCCCTTCCTCCTCTCCCCCTCCAACCCACCCACCCCCAGGCACTCGACGTGGCACTGAGGGAGCGTCTGCTCACCAGCCCCACTCCCGTGGGTCGCTCGCTCTACTCCGCTTCCCTCGGCTCCTCCGCGCTCAGCTCACCTGCGTTGCTGGCCCACCCTGCCCTGTCTCCCCTGTCTCCCTTGTCCCTCTCCCTCCAGGCACTGGACGTGGCATTGAGGGAGCGTCTGCTCACCAGCCTCACCCCGGTGGGCCGCTCGCTCTACTCCGCCTCGCTGGGCTCCTCCGCGCTGGGCGGCGGGGTGGCGGCCTACCGCGGCTTCTTCCAGTCAGTGCGCTTCTCACAGCAGGGCCTGGCTGCGTTGCTGGCCCTTGCTTTGGCGGGCCTTCCTCTTGAGCCCACCTTGCCCCTTTCTCCACATCCCCTCTTCCCCTTCCCCCCTCCCTTCCCTCGTTCCCCCAGGCACTGGACGTGGCCCTGAGGGAGCGCCTCCTCACCAGCCTCACTCCCGTGGGTCGCTCCCTCTACTCCGCCTCTCTCGGCAGCACAGCGCTGGGCGGCGGAGTAACAGCCTACCGCGGCTTCTTCCAGTCAGTGCGCTTCTCCCAGCAGGGCCTGGCTCTCAACGTGGACATGGCTGCCACCGCTTTCCACCTCGACATGCCGCTCCTCACCTTTGCCGCCGACTTTCTCGGCCGCGGGGGGGGCGGGGGAGGCGGCGGGAGGGGCGGAGGGAGGGGTGGGTTCGGGGGGAGGGGTGGCCGGGGGCCGGGAGGGGGAGGGGGAGGGGGCGGCGGGTTTGCACCGAATGCGTCGCTGAGTGATGGGGAGAGAGTGAAGCTGAAGCGCGCCCTGCATGGTATTAAAGTGGGGGTGACCCACCGCGACACGCCCCGCCGGTGAGTGTGTGTGTTGGTGCCGTGACGTGACGTGCTGTGCTGAAGCGTGCGCTGCACGGGATCAAAGTGGGGGTGACTCACCGCGACACGCCCCGCCGGTCCGTGCCTCTCCTACCTCCGCCCCCTTCCTCACCGCAGGTGGAAAGTATCTTCTCTCCCAGTCCCGCTCCCTCTCTCCCTCTGCACTTGCCTTTCCATCATCCTCCCCCCTTCCCCCTCCCCCAACGGTCTTATGTACTTTTGCTACCCGTGTATCTCATTCCTGTCACTCCGTCCCTCCGCTGCTCCGCCCCTCCCCCCATGCAGCTACCGCATCCAGGGCCTGACACGCGAGCCGGCACACGCGCTAACCTTCACCATCGAAGGAGAGGGCGAGACGTCCCTGGTGGCCTACTTCCGCTCCGCCTACGGCTACACCATCCGCCACCCCAACCTGCCCTGCCCGGCCTCGGACACTCTCAGCGCCCCATGTATCTCATTACCGCCCCGTGACTCCCCTTTTCCACCCCGTTACTACTCCACCCCTGCCTCCCTCCCCGCCCCTCTCCCCTGTGCAGCTACCGCATTCAAGGCCTCACACGTGAGCCAGCACATGCCCTCACCTTCACCATAGAAGGAGAGGGCGAGACCTCCCTGGTGGCCTACTTCCGCTCCGCCTACGGCTACACCATCCGCCACCCCAACCTGCCGTGCGTGATGGCGGGCGGCGGCGGCAAGAGCTTCCTGCCAATGGAGGTGTGCCACATCATCGGCGGGCAGCGGTACGGCCCGAAGCTGAACGAGGAGCAGGTCAGCTCGCTGCTGCGCTTCACGTGCACTCGCCCGGACGTGAGGGCGGGGGAGATTGGGAGCATGGTGACTCGCAACGACTACCCCAAGTGAGTATGCTGTGTTGCGGGTGATGCGAGCTGGTGTGGTGGGTGCTGCCACATGGTGAGCTGAACGAGGAGCAGGTCAGCTCGCTGCTGCGCTTCACGTGCACTCGGCCGGACGTGAGGGCGGGGGAGATTGGCAGCATGGTGACCCGCAATGACTACCCCAAGTGAGTATGCTGTGTTGCATAGCAGTTTCTGCTCTTTATGCCGGCACACCACCTTCTGAAACTGGACGAGGAGCAGGTGAGGAAGTGAGTGTGCAACTGGAGGGTCATGGGAGGAGCTGAACGAGGTGCAGGTCAGCTCCCTGCTGCGCTTCACGTGCACGCGGCCTGACGTGAGGGCGGGGGAGATTGGCAGCATGGTGACCCGCAATGACTACCCCAAGTGAGTGTGCTGTGTTGCTTAGCAGTTGCTGCTCTTGATGCCGGCACACCTCCTGCTGAAGCTGAACGAGGAGCAGGTCAGCACCCTGCTGCTGCTACTTGGGAGATCGGCAGCATGGTGACTCGCAATGACTACCCCAAGTGAGTGTGCTGTGTTGCTTAGCAGTTGCTGCTCTTGATGCCGGCACACCTCCTGCTGAAGCTGAACGAGGAGCAGGTCAGCACCCTGCTGCTGCTACTTGGGAGATCGGCAGCATGGTGACTCGCAATGACTACCCCAAGTGAGTGCTGTGCTGTGGGTGATTCGAGATACTGCGCTTGATAATGCCACCCACCCACCTACCCAGCGTGCCCTGCATCTCGCCATGCTCATGCTAAGCGTTGTCTCGCTGCCTTGCTGTCTCGCCGTCATCCCAGTCCTTCCCTCGCTTCTCTTTCCCTTGCGTGCCCCGCCTCTCTCCGTCGCTCCCACTCTCCCCTCCCTCTGCCCCGCCCACCACCCATCGGTGCATGCCAGTTGGGCATGGTCACAATCCTCATCTCCCCCCAATTTTCCTACAGGCTCTCCCTCTCTCGTCGCTTCCCTCCTCGCCCCCTTCCCCCCCCCCCCCCCCCCCCCTCTCCTGTGAGTTTGGCATGCTGGTGCATCCCGGAGATGACGCGCCTTTGTCACCCTCCCTCCCCTCGCTGCGTCGTGTTTCCCCACCCTCCCCGCCCCCTACTCCCCGCCCTCCCCCCCATGCAGCAACCCCTATGCCCGGGAGTTTGGCATGCTGGTGCACCCCGAGATGACGCGCCTGCAGGGCCGCCTTGGCCACTCTCTCTCCCCCTCCCGCCTTGGCCACTCTCTCTCCCCCTCCCGCCTTGGCCACTCTCTGCTTCGTGCTCCGCCACCTACCCCTTCCCCCGCTCTCCTCCCGCTCCCCCCAACTCCCCCCACCTCCCCATGCAGCGACCCGTACGCGCGTGAGTTCGGCATGCTGGTGCATCCCGAAATGACGCGCCTGCAGGGCTAACTTGTCACTCACTCCCTCCCCTTTCCTGCTTCGTGCTCCCCACCCATCTCCCCCTTCTCCCCCCCTGCCACCATGCAGCGACCCGTACGCGCGTGAGTTACGCGCCTGCAGGGCCGCCTGCTGGAGCCGCCCCGCCTCGTGTACAAGGATAAGAAGGACGTGCGTGGGCTGAGGGGGGGGACGTATGGGGGGTGGGTGGGGGCATGGGTGGGGTGGGTGGGGGCATGGGTGGGGTGGGTGGGGGCATGGGTGGGGTGGGTGGGTGGGTGGGGTGAGTGCAGGGCCGCCTGCTGGAGCCGCCTCGCCTCGTGTACAAGGATAAGAAGGACGTGCGTGGGCTCAGGGGGGGGGGCGTATGGGGGGTGGGTGGGGGTATGGGTGGGGTGGGGTGGGGTAAGTGAAGGGCCGCCTGCTGGACCCGCCCTGTCTCGTGTACCGCGCTGAGAAGGACGTGCGTCCACTGACAGGCAGAGGTATTGGGGGGGCTTTGATGGGTTGCCTGTCACGTACCCCTCTGCGTGCAGACACAGAGAAAAGGCAGGGGAAGGGGGGGGGGAAGAGGAGGGGCAGAGAGTGAAGGGTACTGTGTTGACATGATTATCTTTGGCATTATCTTTGGCATTATCTTTGACAAGGTTTCTATTTCCTTTCCTGCGCCCATCTCCTCTCTCACCCTCTCTCCCTCTCCCCACATCTTCCTCCTCTTTTTTCCTCCAACTCCCTCTCCCTGTCTCGCTTTTCCCCACTCACTTCCCCTCTCTCCCCTGTCACTCTCCCTCCCCACCCTTCTTCTCCCTGCACAGGTGGTGCCGCGCTTTGGAGCGTGGAACATGATGGGGGGGCAGCGGCTGATAGACGGCGCGCGCATCACCCACTGGACCATCGTCAACTTCGCGCCCTACCTGGACGCCATGGGCGTGCAGCGCTTCGGCCAAGCCCTCGTGCAGCGCTGCGCTGACCTGGGCGTGCATGTGAGTCAACGAGAGTCAACGAGAGTCAACGGGAGGCAGGGGGGTAAATGGGAAGCGGAAAGGAGTCAACAAGGTCCATGTTAGTCAACTGGGAGCAACGAGAAGGGTCCAGTAGTGTGAGAACAGCACGGTATCACCCAGGCTTCACACGCTCGCCTTCATCCTCTGCCTCACCGCCCCCGCTCCCCCCTCTCCCCCTCCTTGCTGCACCACCCCTTCCCCTCTTCCCTTCGTCCCTCTTTCCCTTAGTCCCCCCTTCCCCCCTTCCCCTCTTACCCCCTGCCTCCCTTCCCCCTTCCCCCTCCCCCCCCCCCATCCCCCTCCCCCCATCAGATGGAGCCCCGCCCGGTGGTGCCGCCCCTGACCGGCCGGGTGGAAGGGTGGAGGCCCCGTTCTTGCCTCACCACCCTTTCCACTTATCTCCCCTCCTTATTCCTCCCCCCCCCCCTCTCTCCCTCCTCCTCCCATCAGATGGAGCCGCGCCCAGTCGTGCCGCCCCTGACCGGCCGGGTGGAGTCGGTGGAGGCGGTCATGCGCCAGCTGGCGGACGCTAGCAGCCGAGCGGTGCCGCCCGGGCAGTGGCTGCAGCTGGCGGTGGTGATCCTGCCGGGCAGAGGCACGTTCTACAACGAGATCAAGCTGATCGCTGAGACGCAGCTGAACGTGGTGACCCAATGCTGCCTCGTGAACCATGCCCAGAAGTGAGTGAGTGTGCCTTGTGAGCCATGCGCACAAGTGGGACAGGGGAGTTGGTGGTGGCATGGCATGGCACGATCTACAACGAGATAAAGCTCATTGCTGAGACGCAGCTCAATGTGGTGACCCAATGCTGCCTCGTGAACCATGCCCAGAAGTGAGTGAGTGTGCCTTGTGAGCCATGCCCACAAGTGGGACAGGGGAGTTGGTGGTGGCATGGCATGGCACGTTCTACAACGAGATAAAGCTCATTGCTGAGACGCAGCTCAATGTGGTGACCCGAGTCGATGCTCTTAGAGGCCACTCGACGCTCTTAGAGACGAGTTGACGCTCTTGGAGGAGACTCGACGCTCTTAGAGGCGAGTCGACGCTCTTACAGGCGAGTCGACGCTCGTAGAGGCGAGTCGACGCCCCAAGAGGCGAGTCGACGCTCGTAGAGGCGAGTCGACGCTCTTAGAGGCCAGTCGACGCTCTTAGAGGCGAGTCGACGCTCTTAGAGGCGAGTCGACACTCTTAGAGGCGAGTCGACGCTCTTAGAGGCGAGTCGACGCTCTTAGAGGAGAGCAGACGCTCTTAGAGGCGAGTCGACGCTCTTACAGACGAGTCAACGCTCTTAGAGGAGAGTGTACGCTCTTAGCAGCGAGTGTACGCTCTTATAGGCGAGTCGACGCTCTTAGAGGCGAGTCGACGCTTTTACAGGCGAGTCGACGCTCTTACAGGCGAATCGACGCTCTTAGAGGCGAGTCGACGCTCTTAGAGGCGAGTCGACGCTCTTAGAGGCGAGTCTACGCTCTTAGAGGCGAGTCGACTCTCTTAGAGGAGAGTCGACACTCTTAGAGGAGAGTAGACGCTCTTAGAGGCGAGTCGACGCTCTTACAATCGAGTCGACGCTCTTAGAGGCGAGTGTACGCTCTTAGAGGAGAGTCGACGCTCGTACAGGCGAGTCGAGCGAGTCGACGCTCTTAGAGGCGAGTCGACGCTCTTAGATGCGAGTCGACGCTCTTAGAGGCGAGTCGACGCTCTTAGAGGCGAGTCGACGCTCTTAGAGGCGAGTCGACGCTCTTAGAGGCGAGTCGACGCTCTTAGAGGCGAGTCGACGCTCTTAGAGGCGAGTCGACGCTCTTAGAGGCGAGTCGACGCTCTTAGAGGCGAGTCGACGCTCTTAGAGGAGAGTATACGCTCTTAGAGGGGAGTCGACGCTCTTAGAGGGGAGTCGACGCTCTTAGAAGAGAGTCGACGCTCTTAGAGGCGAGTCGACGCTCTTACAGGAGAGTCGACGCTCTTACAGGCGAGTCGACGCTCTTAGAGGAGAGTCGACGCTCTTAGAGGCGAGTCGACGCTCTTAGAGGCGAGTCGACGCTCTTAGAGGAGTCGACGCTCTTAGAGGATGGTAGATGCTCTTAGAGGCGAGTCGACGCTCTTAGAGGCGAGTCGGCGAGTCGACGCTCTTAGAGGCGAGTCGACGCTCTTAGAGGCGAGTCGACGCTCTTAGAGGGGAGTCGACGCTCTTAGAGGGGAGACGACGCTCTTAGAGGGGAGTCGAAGCTCTTTGAGGCGAGTCGACGCTCTTAGAGGCGAGTCGACGCTCTTAGAGGCGAGTCGACGCTCTTAGAGGCGAGTATACGCTCTTAGAGACGACTCGACGCTCTTAGAGGCCACTCGACGCTCTTAGAGGCGATTCGACGCTCTTAGAGGCCATTCGACGCTCTTAGAGGCGACTCGACGCTCTTAGAGGAGGCCGCGAATTTTTTTTCCGGTTTCCCTGTGTGGCGCGCGCCCGGGGGGCGCGCGGCCCTTTTTCTTCCTGGCGAGGCGCGCGCGCCCCTCCCCGCCCGTCCGTCGTGGCGCCTTGGGGGCAGCGCGCTCGGCCCCCGCCCGTCCGTCGTCGCGCCCTCGGGGGCAACGCGCGGCCCCCGCCCGTCCGTCGTGGCGCCTTGGGGGGCAGCGCGCACTCCCCGCCCGTCCCGTCGCGGCGCCCTGGCATGGCGCGCGCGGCCCCTGCTGCTTCGCCGCGGCGCCCTGGCCAGGCGCGCGCGGCCCCTGCTGTTTCGTCGCGGCGCCCTGGCCAGGCGCGCGCGGCTCCTGCAGGACCGTCACGGCGCCCTGGCAAGGCGCGCGCGGCCCCTGCTGGTCCGTTGCGGCGCCCTGGCTAGGCGCTCGCGGCCCCTTCCTGTCCCGTCCCCCCCCCCCCCCCCGTGCTGCCCATTACTCTCGTGCCGCCGTGCGTTCTGCGGTGGTGGGGGTGTGGGGTGGCGAGCATGGGGGTGCGCGGTGTGGGTGCTCCCCTTCCCTTTTCCCCTCCTCCTTGTTCGTCTCCCACTGCTGCAGCTGCTGCTGAGGGGGGTAGAGGTGTGGGAGCCGCGGGGAGTGGAGCTAAGGGGGGTGACGTGGAAGTGGAGTTAGGGGTGAAGCAGGGGGTGTGTGTCAGGGGGGTGGGACTGTTTGGGGAGGCTGAGAGGAGGCTGCCGTCTTGTCGTCCGCAGCACCTGTAGTCCGGGGCGCTGTCCTGGTAGCCCAGAGAGCCTGCTGCGCCTGTCGCCCATGGGTCCGTTGCTCCTGTAGCTCCTCGTAGCCCGTGAGCCAGTTACTCCAGTAGTCCGGGGCGCTGTCCCGGTAGCCACTGTGCCAGCAGCTCCTGTTGCCCGTGTGTCTGCAGCTTCAGCCGTCGTCTCCCATCTTCTCTCCTCTCACAGTCCCTCCTCCTCCTCACTTGCACACTGTGACTACCACTAGCTTTGCTCATAATTGTGAACTACTGCTATACTTGCTCATTGTGCTGATTACACCCCACTTTGGCTATGGGGGTGTGTCAGAATGTTATATTATCTAGCCTGCAGTGGGGTGCTCTATAGCGAGTACAACCCAATTAGGGTTTGCTATATGTATCCCAACTGCTGCTAGTGAAACCCCTCCTTTCTTCATTCTTGTTTCTACTAATTGTTTCTGACAGATGATGCTCGCAACCCTCCCGCCCTTGCTGGCTTGGTAATAGGCCCAGACAAGCGCAGCCACGTGACCCGTCGGAAGAAAATCGCTCGGAACGAGCGCTTCCCCCCCGAAAACGCGGAAGGAACTGCACATGGGCAGGAAATGCAGCGGGCGCTCTTTACTCGCGAGCGCCGATGACCGATGATGCTCGCAACCCTCCCACGCCCTTGCTGTCTTGGTAATAGGACCAGACAAGCGCAGCCACGTGACCCGGCGGAAGAAAAACGCTCGGAACGAGCGCTTCCACCCCCAAAACGCGGAAGGATCCGCACATGTGCAGGAAGTGCAATGGGCGCTCTTCATTCGCGAGCGCCGAAGACCGATGATGCTCGCAACCCTCCCACGCCCTTGCTGTCTTGGTAATAGGACCAGACAAGCGCAGCCACGTGACCCGGCGGAAGAAAAACGCTCGGAACGAGCGCTTCCACCCCCAAAACGCGGAAGGATCCGCACATGTGCAGGAAGTGCAGTGGGCGCTCTTCATTCGCGAGCGCCGATGACCGATGATGCTCGCAACCCTCCCACGCCCTTGCTGGCTTGGTAATAGGACCAGACAAGCGCAGCCACGTGACCCGGCGGAAGAAAAACGCTCGGAACGAACGCTTCCACCCCCAAAACGCGGAAGGATCCGCACATGTGCAGGAAGTGCAGTGGGCGCTCTTCATTCGCGAGCGCCGATGACCGATGATGCTCGCAACCCTCCCACGCCCTTGCTGGCTTGGTAATAGGACAAGACAAGCGCAGCCACGTGACCCGGCAGAAGAAAAACGCTCGTAACGAGCGCTTCCACCCCCAAAACGCGGAAGGATCCGCACATGTGCAGGAAGTGCAGTGGGCGCTCTTCATTCGCGAGCGCCGATGACCGATGATGCTCGCAACCCTCCCACGCCCTTGCTGGCTTGGTAATAGGACAAGACAAGCGCAGCCACGTGACCCGGCTGAAGAAAAACGCTCGGAACGAGCGCTTCCACCCCCAAAACGCGGAAGGATCCGCACATGTGCAGGAAGTGCAGCGGGCGCTCTTCATTCGCGAGCGCCGATGACCGATGATGCTCGCAACCCTCCCACGCCCTTGCTGGCTTGGTAATAGGACCAGACAAGCGCAGCCACGTGACCCGGCTGAAGAAAAACGCTCGGAACGAGCGCTTCCACCCCCAAAACGCGGAAGGATCCGCACATGTGCAGGAAGTGCAGCGGGCGCTCTTCATTCGCGAGCGCCGATGACCGATGATGCTCGCAACCCTCCCACGCCCTTGCTGGCTTGGTAATAGGCCCAGACAAGCGCAACCACGTGACCAGGCGGAAGAAAAACGCCCGGAACGAGCGTTTCCACCACCAAAAGGCGGAAGGATCCGCACATGTGCAGGAAGTGCAGCGGGCGCTCTTCATTCGCGAGCGCTGATGACCGGTGATGCTCGCAACCCTCCCACGCCCTTGCTGGCTTGGTAATAGGCCCAGACAAGCGCAGCCACGTGACCAGGCGGAAGAAAAACGCACGGAACGAGCGCTTCCACCCCCAAAACGCGGAAGGATCCGCACATGTGCAGGAAGTGCAGCGGGCGCTCTTCATTCGGGAGCTCCGATGACCCGTGATGCTTGCAACCCTCCCACGCCCTTGCTGGCTTGGTAATAGGCCCAGACAAGCGCAGCCACATGACCCGGCGGAAGAAAAACACTCGGAACGAGCGCTTCCACCCCCAAAACGCAGAAAGATCCACACATATGCAGGAAGTGCAGCGGGCGCTCTTCATTCGCGAGCGCTGATGACCGATGATGCTCGCAACCCTCCCTTAATAGGCCCAGACAAGCACAGCCACGTGACCCGGCGGAAGAAAAACGCTCGGAACGAGCGCTTCTACCCCCAAAAGGCGGAAGGATCCGCACATGTGCAGGAACTGCAGCAGGCGCTCATCATTCGCGAGCGCCGATGATCGGTGATGCTTGCAACACTCCCACGCCCTTGCTGGCTTGGTAATAGGCCCAGACAAGCGCAGCCACGTGACCCGGCGGAAGAAAAACGA